ACGTCCTGCCGGCGGGGACGGGGAGGACGTGCGTGCCGCGGTGGAGCAGATCACTGGCGTCTTGGGCGGCATCTTCACCCCCCTCTTCTTCCGCGGACTCTTCGCCTTCCTCACCTGGTGGGTGGCCGCCTGCCAGGTCCCCCCCAGCCTCTTCGGCCTCTACTTCCACCAGTACCTGGCAGCCTGCTGACTGGGGGGAGCTGGGACCTGCCTCGGGGCACAGTCGGTGCCCTTGCTCCTGCCTTGGGTGGTTTCCCCCTTTGCACGTGCCCGTGACACACGTGGACATGCAGGCGGGGACGTTTCTGCCACCAGCTCTCGGCGTGATGGGTTTTACGCACCCGTGCCAGCGTGGACATCGCCTACTCCTGCCGCCGGTCACCACCGTGCCTGCTCTCGCCCCGCGGGCTGCGCCCCTCCGGCCCCTCTCCCCCTCCCCAGCCCCACGTAGGGATGGAGGAGCCGAAGCCCCGCAGGCGGGTTTGCTGCTGCCCGCTCTGACCCGACACGGGGATGCTGCGGTTTCCTCGAGGGCAGCGGCTCCTGCCAGCCCTGGGCAGGGCACTCATCGGGGATCGCCCGTGCATGGTGGGGACTGCGCAGCTGGGCTGGAGCGACAGCTTGGCTTGCCAGCACAGGCTGGGGTTTGCTCTGCCTAGAATTTACTGGCTGAGTGTGTTTTTGTAGGGTCGCTGCTCTGGCCAGCTGGGTCGGAGCTCCTCGAGGTCATCCCTCTGCTTCGTGGGAGACCCACAGGCCCAGCAGCCTTGGCTGTTGGCTGTTTTAGAAATAAATAAGTAACCTGGAGTCTGCCATGCCGAAAGCTGCTGCTTTGTTTGCGCTTTGCGGCCCCGAAGCCCCTCGGGCAGGGCAGGAGTCCCATGGGAAGAGGACAGCTGCCTTTGGCAAAGCCCCGGACGCGTTACGGCAGCAAGGGGAAGAGGCTGAGCGCTGGAACAAACCCCGCAGCCCGGCCCCATCATGCTCGAGGAGACCTCACATCCACCCCATCGCAGCCCGACAGAATCACAGAATGGTGGGGGTTGGAAGGGACCTCTGTGGGTCACCCTGGGCCGGGGGAGCGCATCCGGGCTGAGCAAGCATCGCTCAGGCCAGCGGCGGCTGCAGAGGGGGGGACGGGGTCTGCAGCCCCTTGTCCGTCTCAGCCGAGCTCTTCCCCACCGCACGGTGGGTGCTGGTCCAGCTGCATGAAAAAGGATTAGCAGGTCTGGGCTGCTCAGAGAAAGGGAGAGGGGCTCTGATCCTATTTGATAGCCTTGTAATGGTCTTAATTCCCTCTTGCTAAGGGCCGAGATGAGAAGGCAGCCCTTTGCCCGGCATTAACAGGGCTAATCCGGCCAGCCCTCCCCTGCCTGGCTCCCGCACACCCAACCTGCGGGGACAGTGAAAGCCCTTTTGCAAAAAATGATGGGGCAGTTCCCCTTGAGCAAACAGCTGGGGGGACCAGAGCCCGGAGCAGCACCATTAACCAGCACAGGGCCTGGAGTTTGGCTCCAGCAGCACCGTCACCAAGGCGCGGGTGGAAAGGCGCAAGGAAGACGTGATTCCCCCCGGGCCGGGATGCAGAAGGGACTTGTTCCAGGCTGCGCCATCCCATTAAAAGCTAGTCCGACTGCCTTGATGGCTCATTTATCTAATTTTCCTTAAGCATGTGGAGGAAGCAGCCGGGGGCTGAGCTGGCAGGGAGGCCTTCGCGGCGGGAGGACGGTTGCTAGGGCCTGGGGTTGCACCGCATTCAGACATGCAGACAGTTCATCCCCTGAGATCTGCCCAGACGTGACCCTCTCAGGCGGGGACAATGACTGATAGACTAGCCAAGAGCAGCAGACAGATCCGCAGGCACCGAAATTGGGCCACATCAAATAAAATGAAAGAGCCCCCCCATCTTCCTCTCCCCACCATTTTTCCTCTTTGTATCTTGGCTTTACTTAGAACAGGGTACAGGCTCTGTGAAGGGCCATGCGTGGGTGCTCAGCAGAGAGGGGAGCAGCCGAGACCAAGGGGGTCTGTGGGCACCAGGAGCCCCTTGCTGCAACCCCACTCTGGCCTCGCATGGCCCCTGCTCCCCCGGCACGCACCCACCTCCGGCTCCCTTGAGCCCACCTTGGCAGGAACCCGGGGGCTCCAGGAGGGCTTCCTTCATGCCCTGGCAGGGAGGGAAGCAGTGAGCCCTGCCTTCCCACCCCGCTTCCACCCAAAACGGGATCTCCTTGCATCCTGCAGAGCTGTTCCTGCTTGGAGCCGAGGGAGATTTCGGATCACAGCTCTCTCGGGGGCTGGCAGCCCAAACCAAGGCAGGTGGATGCTCCCCTGCACACCGGGAGCCGGAAAGCCAAAGGAAGGGATGCTAACCCCAACCGGGTTGGACAGGGAACCCTTCGCCACAGGCTTCCTGCAAGGTTTAGGGCAAGTCTCAGCCTCTGGGTTCCGTCTGAACCCGAGGAAGAACTTCTTCCCTCTGAGGGTGACAGAGCCCTGGCCCAGGCTGCCCTGGCTGTGGAGTCTCCTGCTCGGGAGTTTTTCCAGCCCCGCCTGGCCGCGGTGCTGTGCCCCCTGCTCTGGGTGACCCTGCTTGGGCAGGGGGTTGGGCTGGGTGACCCACAGAGGGCCCTGCCAACCCCAAACATTCTGTGATTCTGTGGGTCTCGGCTTCCCTTGGGGCACAGCCAGGGCATCAGCTCTGGAGCAGCGGTGGGCTACAGGGTGGTTACTGTCCTCACTGCTGAGACCTTCCTGCCTTGACGGAGCGCGAGATGGCAAAGCATCGCAGCGTCACATCCGTGCTAGCCCCGAAACGCAGCTGAAAGCACGGAAAGCCCCAAGAGCTGAGCAGGGCTGAGCAGCAGCCGGGGGTCCCCAACTTGGGGGAAGCCGCGGGGCCGTGCCTAAGCAGACAGTGCCACCTGCTGCCATTGCACACTTGTCCCTGTCCCCATCCCACGCCACGGCGCTGGGGACAGCACAGGCCTCCCCTGGAAGAACCACAGGGTTTGGACCACCTCCAAGAGTTGCTTTCCTTCCTTCAAGCTTCTCCCAACGTCCATGCAAAGCCCAAAAGCACCAACGCTTGTGCTTTGTAGGGTGCTCGGTGCGCAGGAGGGCTGGGGGCACAGGGAGCCCCCCAAGAGGTACCCCCAGACACCCCCACGTTTGGTCCCTCAACAAATGCACCCAGATGTGCCAGGGCCCCCTCTTAGGAGCAACGCATAACAGGAGGCACCCTCAGAGAGCCTGCAAAGTCAATTATAATTTTTTATTAAATATACATCCTCTCTTGGCACAAATCTTAAAATATATAAACATTATATAACAAAGTGTCTTCACTGCAATAAAATAGAACTCCAGATCCAAGAAAAGCAGTCAAAATCGACACACATACGTACACGCAGACATTGATGGTGAGGATACGTCTTGACAAAAGGCATTTAACAGTGTTTGTGCTAATATATGCATAGACCACAGGGGCAGTGAACAGTGCTGGGAAACCCTGCATCGCGTGGCATTTCAGGAGGAGACGGGGGTAGCGGGAGGAATCAGCCCCTACAATTAATAAAAAAAGGCTGTTTTGTAGGAAGGCCACCTCCTCTTCTGGCCCAGTCCAGGCTGGGAGGGTCCATAACACCCGCCCTGGCTCTCTGCAGAGCCCAAGCACCCAGCCAGGCACTGGGAAGCGGCATGGGAAGTATCCCACCGCATTTCCTCCTCCTCCTGCCCGCCCGGGACCGGCACCAGACTCGCTCAGGGTTGCCACAGTGCTTCTGCTCAAAGTTTCCTTTCATGCCTCATCTGCTTTTGTGTTAAAGACACCAGAGGGTGAAGAGGATAGAGCTCGAGTCCTTCCAGGCGGAAGGTGATAAGAAGTTAACGGAAGTACCACTGCTTTTCCACAGAAGCTACGAAACTGCCTTTGGAGAGCTCCCAGGGAGTCCCAACACCACACCACAGCACCCACCCCACAGCTTTCAGTGGCTTCATGCCTCAGGAGGCCACGACTGCCCTCCTGATCCTTCCACCGTGGTCCTGCCGACCACCAGCCAGCTCTTCGGTGGCTTTGCCTGCCTAGAGAACTGGCAGGGCTCTGCACACGGCACACAGGGCAAACGGGTTTGCAAGAAGCCAGCTCAGGTCCCACCTCAAGTATTCACGCTCCCTAACCAACCCCCTGAGCCTAGCAGAAGGACCGGCTCTCCCCGAGCTACCTACCCAGCAAGCAGCCACCTTCACAGGGCAAGTGGGCATCACGCGGAGGTACCGAAAGAGGAAATGACAAGCGGCAGCAGCTTTACACAGCTTGTGAAGGCAAGGTGCTAGGAGAAGCGAGGGCGCTAGGCTGGACAAGCGGTTCAAGAATCTTTCAAAAAAACCTTCTGCCCCATCATCCAGCGCCTTTCACTTCTTGCCCCTCCCCACAAGCGTCCCTGCCTGTGAGCAGGAAGCCCAGCTGGGCTGTCTGGGCATCGCTGTCAGAGCTGCCAGGTTGTCACTTCGAATGCCTTTCATTGGACCTGATTTTCTTGAAGTGCTGGTGTGGGACAAAAGGTGCAGAAGCAGGGAGGGAGGGAGAGCAGACAAGAAGAAAAAGCACAAATTAATGTTTTGGCAGTAACAAATTAAGGAACAACGAATTGAAAAGCAAGAAATTTGAGATGAAAAAATTAAAAATCGGGAAATTTGGGGTAGTAAAGAAGTTCTAAAGAAAAGAAAAGAAGGACTAGAGAATATTCCTGTTCGACTTGTCTCCTTTCCCAAAGCTAAAGGCAATAGACCTTCTTGGCCAGCACACAGGCACCCTCCCTTTCCCTGCCCAAAACTCCTCGGGCACTCATTCCAGGCAGCAGAGAGAATTGGAACATGTCTCAATTCATGCAAGGTTTAAGCGAAGGGAAGAGAACACTCTGTTTCTCCACTTCTACATTCAAATCAGAGAAGAGTAAAAAAAAATAAAAGCTATTTAAAACAACCCAAAGCAATTACACAGTTACTCTGAACACTTTTGCCCAAGAAACAAGAGCACCAAACCCATCACAGACCGAATTCAAAGATCCGTCTCTGAACAAACACTCAGCCTGCAAAACTTGGAAAAACACGTTCGGCCAAAATTCCACTGAGTTAAAATCGGGTGCAGCTGCTAATTAGGGAACAACTTCTCCGAGCCCAGCGCTTCCAAGT